GAGGTCTACGACGTAAAGTATGAGATCTCTGGAGCCCAAGTGCGCGAAGCTCCTCCCTTGATCGTTCTTAGCACCTCCGTTCGCAACGACTCTGACTCCACCGTGACCCAAGATCTCGGGTTCTCCTACTCGAAATCCGAGTCTGGAACGTGGAACAACTCTGTTGGGATCACGCTTGGAGTCTCGGCAACCTTTAAAGCCGGGGTACCCTTCATCGCCAGCGTCGAGTGGAACGTCTCTGTTTCTGCCGAGTACAGTCACCAGTGGGGTGGGTCTGTCGGAGTCGAGAAAACGGTGTCTGAGTCGACCAGTGTCACTGTACCTCCGCACAAGAAGGCGCAAGCTAAAGTCATTGTGAGGAATGCCTTCCTTGACGTTGGGTTCTCGTACAAGGAGAAGGTGTTGTATACGAACGGCCAGACGGAGGACCTTCTGAAGCAAGGGGTGTATAAGAATGTGGACTCGTACCACGTTGACGTCGAGCTCACCAACTGGGAGCCTACTGACTGACACCTGATCGGTGAGCCATCTCCACTAGACCAACCATCCACTGCTCAGTTGAACTTCAATTTTCCAGATGATATCGGGCACCGCGGCTTTCCATCTACGAACATATCTTGAATGGTTTCGTGCACTTGCAGTGAATTGATTGTACAATAGGTGCATCACAATCGAATGAGTCGTTCCAAGGAGCACCCTCACAGGTCGAGATTTGTGGTTGAGTTTGTCACTCGATGATCTTGTAGCATCCAGGTGTGTACCGCTTTTTCAGAACGCCTCAGCTCAAATAGGTCCGAGTCGTGGATCCAACAAGTGTTACTTTGCCGGAGATACTCACGACCTGAGTTTATGAGTCAATGAGGCTTCAATGTGCATGTCACTCATATTGCATCAATTAATCAAAGCTAGCATTTGCAACAATGGTATCACATTTTATGACACGTCGGAAAATATTGTACAGGCTCATACAAAGGACGTTCGAGCCAAGAAATTATTCTTCCATCTCCAATATCCATTTTCGTGTGATTTTCTCGACTATGGCCCAACCAGGACCGGCAAACTCGCCGTAGGGTTTTTTTTAAATTTTACCTGGGGCTAACTTCCCAGCTGGTTTGCGTAGCTTTCTAAACTCTGCGGTGGCTGCGGTGGCGCAACGCCGCCCGGCCGCGTCCAAGTCCCTCGGTGGCTTCGCGACTAAATCAGAGTTTACTTTCAGTTGTAGTAGGACTTAGACAAATAAACAAGTTCTTGTAGGTTCCAAGCATCTCCGCTATGTATCGTGCCTTCTCCTGAGTCTCAGCATGCTGGATGTTGTCCAATGTATTGTCCTTGGCTTTAATTTTGAAGCCGCTGTCCATTAATTTCTCGGTCAATAGCTTTATAAGGCTTGTTCATGCCATATCATCCAACTCTTTTCCATCTGAATCATTATGTGAGTCTTCGTGTGACTTTCTCTTTGCTCTGCACAGCGCGTTCGATTTCTCCATACGTGTCTGGCATCTTGACGTTGGATCGCCTTTCTTGCCCGTTATGCTATCCTTTATGCGCGGGGGGAGTTCGGTAAACAGTCTGCTAACATTGAATACATTGTTTTGCAGCCATCGATCTCAACGAGCACTAGAGGAGATGCTAGCATGGAAGAACGTTACAGAACAGTGAACACTACTGCTATTTTCTGCAGATGAGCCTCACATTGATTATCGCGCGATAAGCATCAGTAAGAACTTGTTTTTATCTGTCTAAAGTCCTACTACAACTAAAAGTAGACCCTAATCTAGTTGCGAAGTCACCGAGGGACTTGGGTGCTACAAGGCAGCGCTGCGCCACGGCAGCCACAGCGGAGTTCGAAAAGCTACGCAAACTAGCTGGAATATTAACCCTGGTGGGCCGGCTCCCGGGTGTTTTCTTCTTCTTTAGCGACGCGACCAGAGGCATGTCATAAAAGTCTCAATGGGCTGCTGCATCTGCAGACGGACGACTGCTCTATGCTTGCAACAAGACATACGATGAATGGCGTTTAGCAGTCATGCAAATGTAGGTGAATCTCTTTGATTGGGCTTACTCAATGGTTTGTCGCATAACGTCGATCTTCGTTGCGTTCATACCTGCACAGGTGCCAATAAGTGTGCCTAGAACATGAGTCGGAGACGGTATGAGGGGGCTATGGACGAATATCTGGTGAGCACTTCTTGCCCGAGTTGAAGCAGGCGGTACTGTCCGCCGGATCTCGCTCAGGTGGAACAAGAAATATACTAGACACAACAAAGAATTGACCATTTTCTCACATCGGAAAGGCAAGGAGAGACATCGGAAAGGTGCATTTCCAGCACCATGCACAGTTTCACCCTTGCACAATCAGACATGGTCAATTCTTTGTTGTGAGATGCATTTCTCTAGTCGTGCCGACGCATATGACGAGCTCGTTGGCGCTAGGCAAGTCATCGCCTGACCTATGCATACTCTCCCATTCGACAAACATGGGGTTGTACAGTAGCCAAGGCTTGATTACCCACAACGAAACCCGCTCATATGACCAGGTAAGTCACCAGAACAGGCCTCATTGAGTCCCATGTCGGCCCATGATGCTCGTAGAGATACAGTATTTAGGGTGGTTCATTATACTCCAATTCACTTCCTGCATCCATTCATTGTAAATCAAGTCAGCAGCCAGGACTCTGTAGGATCGTGACCAAACACAACGGTGACTTTTGCGTCGACGGATTTTGCAAAAGGGTCAGCAGTTCAACATGTTATACAAATTCCTCGACACATTCGTCGCTTCCATGACCCCCATTACTTCGTCTGTTACCTGGCACTTCGTGCACGAATACTTCGTTTGTCACTTCCCAGTCGAAGCGACAACTACCATGATGCCAAGGGACCTGATGAGACTCCGCGAAGTCTCCAATGAATAGCAAGTTCCCCGAAGCTGGTGCATATGCGATGTCAAAATATGTGCGCGTGAGTAACTCTTCACCCGTTTCCTGTATGGCAGGCTCATTCACGACTGCGATTTTGGCGAACGCCGGGTCGGGTGCTGGGT